AAAGTGAGGATGACTTAAAGCACTTACTGATGAAGATTGAAGAATACAGCCTGTAGTATGGATTACATCTCAATACAAAGAAAACAAAAATTCTCACTACTGGACCTATAAGTGTATCATAATAAATGGAGAGAAGGTTGAAGTTATCAAAGACTTCACATTGCTTGGTTCTACAATCAATGCCTATGGAAGCAGCAGCCAAGTCATCAGATGACGTATAGCACTGGGCAAGTCATTTGCAAAGGACCTCTTTCAAGTGCTGAGGATCAAAGATGTCTCCTTGAGGACTAAGATGCCTGACGCAAGCCACGATATTTTCAATTGCCTCATATGTATGTGAGAGCTGGACAATGAATAAAAAAGATGGAAGAAGAATTGGTGCTTTTGAGATGTGGTGCTGGCAAAGAATGCTGAAAGTACCATGAACTGCTAAAAGAACTAACAAATCTGTCCTGTAGGAAGTGCAGTTAGAATGCTCCTTGGAAGCATTAATGGCCAGACTTCATCTCACCTACTTTGGCATGTTGTCAGAAGGGACCATTCCCTGGAGAAGGATGTCACACTTGGTAAGGTGGAAGGTCGACAAAAGAGGGGAAGGCTGTCAGTGAGCTGGATTGACACCTTGGCTGTGGTGATGAGCTCAAGCGTAGCAAGGATCATGGAGCTGGGAGAGACCGGGCGGTGTTTCGTTCTGCTGTGCATAGGGTCGCTATGAGTCAGAGATGACTTGACAGCACCTATCAACAACAATATATACATGAGAATGCTGGACAGTGAGTAAGGAAGAGTGAAGAAGAATTAATGCATTTGAATTGTGGTGTTGGAGAAGAATCTTAAATATGCTGTGGGCTAAAAGAAGAACAAACAAATCTGTCTTTGAAGAATTATAGCCAGAAAGTCTCCTTAGTGAAGATGGCAAAACTTCATTTCACATAGTTTGGACATGTTATCAGTAAGGACCAGTCCCTGGAGAAGGAAATCACGTTTGGTAGAGAGTCAGGAAAAAAGAGGAAGACTCTCAATGAGATGGATTAACACAGTAGCTGTAACAGTGAGCTCAAACAAAGCAGTGACTGTGAGAAGGTGCAGGAGCGGGCAGTGTTTCATTCTGTTGTACATGGGATCACTATGAGTCAGAATTGACTCATGGCACCTAACAAAAATGTTATGTGAACAGGTACTTTTGATCTAGGATAGAATTTCCAGTGGTAGCGACAGAAAAAAAAATTTTTTAAGTAGTGAATTTCAGTAACTTATGAGAAGTAAATATGATATGATTTTAAAAGTTATTTGGTCTCTGATTTCTCTATAGGTTAGCATAGTATAATAAATATTTTAAAATATCTGTATTACTGAATTACATTTTTTTACATTATTTGACTGTTTCATGAATATCCCTAACAGTTGATGCTTTTAATGAGGGCAGATATCTTATTTGAGGTCATATATTATTTGTTGTTGTTGTTATGTGCTGTCATGTCAGACCCGACTCATAGCGACCCCTCCTTGGGTTTCTGAGGCAGTATCACTATGGAAGTAGATTGTCCCATCTTCCTCATTAGGGCATATAAAAATCGCTGACTAAAACTTAGTTTTTACTTCTGTTAATATTGGATAGGAGCTCTGGTAGCATAGTGCCTAAGGCACTTGACTGCTAACCAGAAGACTGGCGGTTCAAACCCACCAGCCACTCCTCGGAGGGAAGGTTGGGGAATCTACTTCCATAGTGATACTGCCTTGGAAACCCAAGAAGGCCTTGCTATGAGTCAAGTCTGACTGGATGGCACATAACAACAACAACAACAATTTTGGATGGCAAATAGCTTTTGTTTGGAAAGGGCCAAACTCAGTTAATATTCTTTGAGCTCAGTAGAATTAAAAAGGTATTTTACAAAAAAACTGAAAATTTGAGTCCATGTCTTGGTTCTACCATTAACCGTACACTTAGAGTACTTTTCTTCTCAGTCCTCTGTATTGAATGAGGACATTGAACTGGACCGTTTCTATGGCATCTTCCAAATCTGTGTTCCTGGGAATGTTAATGGTGATCAGCCTTGTGGATTGAGGTGGTGCAGGCAGGCATAGTCAAGGTGGATATACTAATAACAAAGGGAAATGATGAGATCAAATTACAAGGAAAGACTGGCTGGGAAAAAAGCAGAGCTAGGATAAACTTCTTAGCTAGACAGTGCATTTATAAATTTTCTTTAGTAAACATTTTTTCACTACAAAAGTAAAATTATCACTTTAAAAATTGCATATTTGATTCTGCTTGTAGCTGTCTTTGTTTCCTCAGTGTGATCTTGTTATTTTCTCATATCTTCTCTTTACTTGCTCTGCAGTAATATTCATTCCATCACCTGTGGGGGAGGTGGGGTGGGGATTACTTTCAGGAATATGTGATAAAAAATGTTTTAAAATGTGGCATTCTTACAAATTCTAGTTCACATGAATAATCATTTCACAAGAAAGCTAACATTCCCCTTCATGTTCTTGGCATGGGGCAAGTGAGAGGCCAGTGATTGCCAGCTTTGCTGATGAAGAGGGATTTGTTTCAGTATTTACTACCAGCTTTTTAGTGATCCAGGCCTGAATGTGTTGTCTAGTTCAGATGTCTGTATGGTAATTTTATACCCAAAGGTGAATTTTGGAGGGGAATTTATTTGAAATAAACTAAACCCTTTACCTTCCTTGTCCTTTTTGGATATGTTGAAGAAAGGAAACAGTTTCAAGATAGCTAAGGGAGGTAGTTTAAGAAACAGAGAGCAAAAGATCTTTGAAAAAAAATTATACCTACTCCTCACTTGTTGATTATCTTGTTATCTAACATTTTGCACTATGACAAATTAAAAAAGAGAGAGAGAACGAAACCCACTACCATTGAGTCAAATCTGACTCATAGCAAGCCCCATTGGGTTTCCAAGGCTGTAACTCTTTATAGAAGTGAATTAATTGCTTAATCTTCCTCCCGTCGAGGCGCTGGTGGGTTTGAACCACTGAACTTCTGGTTAGCAGCCAAATGCCTTACTCACTGTGCCACCAGAGCTACTTCCTTATGGCAGTAATGCTGTCATATCTACAATCTGACTATTTTACACATTAACAATGCATGTCTGGCAGTAATGAATGCCAAGGTGTGAAGTGAGAGTAATGTTGGCTGTGATGGTCAAGGTTATGTATCAACTTGCCTGGGCTGTGATTCTCAGTGGTTTGACAGCTGTGTAATGATGTAATTTGTCAGTTAGGTAATTATGTAGTCATCCTTCATTTTATAGTCTGATGTGATCATCCTCCATTTTCACTTAATTCCAATTTTCTCTTAATGACCTGGTCTTTGGAACCTAATCATGTTGATAAGTGAGGAATGGGTGTATTTACTGAAAGACAGACTGAATGTAAAACAAAACAATTCCTGAAAAAAGTCCCTCTAGTGTCATATTATAAGAAAAGCAGAAAGAAATTTGTTTATGGACTAATAAATTTCCTTTTAAGTAAAATGATTTCTCATAGAATTTTGGTTCTAGTTAGAGGATGGTCTTTATGTGAATTTAATATGTAGGCAGAAAAAATCTTATGTTTTCCAGGGGCCTCTCCTTGATATGTCCTTGGTTTGCAGATTTTAAAAATTTTGTTTAGAAAGGAATGTTGCTTAGCCTAATGTGTACTAACATGTCATGTATGTGTAGATAGGGTGGGAATCTGATAGGACTTAGGTCTTATGTAAAAGTTGTGAGGCGGTATCCCTCCTCTAACTTTGGGGGAGAGAGAAGAATCAAGATCCACCTCAGCCCAAGGCTGATTCCTACAATACTGAGGTCTGACATATCTCCACCCCCATCATTTTGACCAATTCTGAAACCTGCTGTCCCTCCCATAGCACTATCTACTTCCCTGCTAGATTTGATGATTTGCTATAGTGGCCACACAAAACTCACAGATCATACTTATGATTTTGGGGTTCATTAGGAAAGTAACAGGTTACATTTCAGGATCAGGAGTAACCTGGAAGTAACAAGAACAGCTCAGTATATACTATTTTGATCAGGACAGCTTCTTCTCAGCTGCTGCCACTGGGCCCTCTGCTCAGGCCTGGCCTCTGCCCCTACTAGAGCCTGTCCTGTGTCCTACTCAGGCAAGTATTGCAAAGCTCTTTACCTCTGCCAGTAAGTACCTGCAGGCACCTCATTCTGCCAGGAGGCATACTGCCTGAAGGGCTCAGCTCTCTTGCTCCATGGGTCAGTAAGCCTAACTTGCCATTCCCATGCCACAGATGTTTCATGCTGTCTTCAGTGTTACAGCTCTTCCTGTCTTTTGGGTCTAGGAGGGTCTTAGCTCAGGAACCTTGGGTCCAAAGGGCATGATATGCTCCTGGCTCCTTTTCTTGGTGGTAGTGAGGTTCCTCTGGGATTGGTTCCCTTTCAGCTTAGCAGGGTGGCAAAATTGACCAATTCTCTACAAGGGTTCCAAGGACTTTATTTGCATTAGCAAAACTATCCAATCTTCTTGGTTGACCATTAAGTACCTTATTTACATAGTCCCACCAAATCATTTTTGTGGGAGTTACAAGACCAGGGCTAGAAGGGCCATATAAGTAATTCACTGCATCACAAGTGGCTATAGAATTGCTGTTAGCTTCTATGAGACAGGCCTCAACTCATGGTGATCCTATGCACAAAGGGATGAAACACTTCCCTGTCTTGTGCCACCCCTGTGATCAGTTGCAGATTGGACAGTTATGATCCCTAGGGTTTTCATTGTTTGATTTCCAGAAGTAGATCACTAAGCCTTTCTTCCTAATCCATCTTAGTCTGGAAGCTCTGCTGAGACCTTTTCAGCATCATAACAACACACAAGCCTCCACTGACAGGTGGGTACTCCAAGCAGCTCACAGGTTCTGAAAGAGTGTTTGTTTATTCTTGGAGGTCACTGCGTTGCAATTTTACTCTGGTCTCCAAAGAACCAGGGCATCTCAAAAATATTTGTTTTTCTTTCCTCTGCAGGAAGGACATTTCCTACTCACCCTTACTTTTCAGCACAGCTTGGGGCAGGGCAGTTGTCACTCTTTAACCTCCTAAAAGCCTATTCTTTGCTGGACAAAGAAGTGGGTTACTGCCAGGGAATCAGCTTTGTGGCTGGAGTCCTGCTCCTGCACATGAGTGAAGAGCAAGCCTTTGAAATGCTGAAGTTCCTCATGTATGACCTTGGCTTCCGTAAGCAGTACAGACCTGACATGATGTCACTGCAGGTGAGGCAGGTGTTCTTCATGAGGAACACATGAAACCATGTGGAAATGTTAATGGAAGCTCTCTTCTAAAAGACAAGTCAGAGTTAAAGAAATTGGTACCCATTGCTTTGGAACTTGGGTCTCTATTTTAGTTCATGGTTTTACTGTGGGATTTGGGATTATTCTGAACTTATGAGTATATGATCTCCATTTATAGAATAACTTTTCCATTAAGTTCCTCAACTGAAAAAATAACCAATTCAAAAAAACTGATGGGTGCATAAGTCACTACCCTCTTAAGTCTATGGATCACATGAAGAAAATGTCAAGTCATCTTTATTCACTTTCTCCAACTTCGTAATCAAAAAGTGTCACAAATCTTTTGTTTAAAATCTATCCTTTCACGTTCAGTACATGTATGACAGATATCTATGTTGTGGTTCTTCTTGAGTTTACCATGCTGGATCGACCTCCTTTATCTCAATGTAAGATAGGCCCTTAGAAAGGAAAAAGTGTTCAAAGTCAGCGGTGCTTCTTCATTTGATATTTCTTAGCATGCTCTGAAGAAGCACCATTTATATTTTTTACTTATAAGTGAGGTATTCTCTGTCACCTCTATCTTTAATCTATTTCAAACTCCTTGTTTACACATTTCTCCTTCTGAAGTCCGGGGATGGCACAAATGGTTAAAAACTTGAATACTAACTGGAAGGTTGGCAGTTTGATCCCACCCAGAGGCACCTTGGAAGGAGGGTCTGATGATCTGCTTATGAAAAGTCAGAGCCTTACAAACCTGTGGAGCACAGATCTACTCTAACACACGTGGGTTTGCCGTGAGTCAAAAGTGACTCAAAGACAAGGGATTTGGTTATTTTTTTCTTCTGTGATATAAATTTCACTTTTCTAAATGTATTGGTTTTTAAAAGACAGTTTACATTTTATCGATAGGACATCTCAAACAACTACCGTCTTGCAATATAAAACTTCTAGTAGTGAAAGTACACAGGAAGACTTTATAGAAGGGAATGGAAGAATGCTCTGAAAATGAGCTACACAAGACTCTAGTTTGTCATAATATTATGTTTTATATAAGAATTAAAATGCTTTAAATGTTTTTTAAAAATATACTCTTTATTCCCAGTAATCAGTGTATGCGCTTAATGTTTTAATAATCTATAGGCAAAAAGACTGAGCTTTTTACCCTATGTATATTGTAACCAGGTGCTGTCAAATTAACTCCCACCCATGGTGACTACATGTATATCAAGTAGACATAGCGTTTCCAATGACTGACTTTTCAGAAATAGACCACAAGGCCTTTCTTCTTAGGCACCACTAAGTAGACTTGTACTGCCAACTTTTGGTTGGCACCCAAGCTTGTTAACCATTTGTGCCACATAGGAACTCCATGTGTATTATTAAATAATAATAATAATAATAATAAAACAAACCCACTGTCATCAAGTTGATTCCAACTCATAGCTACCACCATTGAGTTTCCAACACTGTAACCCACCAGCCACTCCTTGGAAGGAGGGTTGGGCAATCTACTTCCATAGTGATACTGCCTCGGAAACCCAAAGAGGGGTCTCTATGAGTTGGGGCTGACTCAACAGCACATAACAACAACAACAACAACAACAAAAGTCTTTATGGAACTGGATTGCCTCATCTTCCTCCTGCAGAGCAGCTGCTGAGTTTGAACGACTAACTTTCTGGTTAGCAGCAAAATGTGTTACCCACCATGACATCAGAGCTCCTTATTATAGTACAAGATATTTTCTCGAAGGGAGAGAAATTGGTCCTAGGTTTCCTTACTACCTCAAAATGACACTGTTGCTAGGGAAGTAGGGCTTTGCTCTTTCCACTGGGTTTCCTGGTCTGAGTTCCTGTGGAGGATTTTTACCAGGATATATAATTGCAGTAGTTTGATTCCTAGTTAATAACTGTTCATGGGTCTGTTAGCATTGAAATAAGTTAAATAAGTTATTTTGGAAGGTTTTTTACTTTATTTCTAAACAGTTTGTCTATATTTTATATGAGCTAAAAAACACTATCACTCTTGTAAGGAACTAAATAGCTCTGGTTTCTAGAAACAACAGTTTAGTAGCTAGTATTAGAATTTCAAAGAATGGAAAGTAACTACAGGTAGTGTTTGATATAGGATCATTGATAGAAAAATAGATACAGCTATCACTTTAAAAATTCAATGATTTTTCTATTTAAATATTCCTCATCAATTTGACGTAATAAAAATTCATGCAAATTGTGTTTTTTACATTCATATAATATGGTCTTCAATTACCAAGAGACATTTTATGCCTATAATTATGCAGATGTTTTAAAATCTTTGGTGTCAGCATTCTTACAAGCTACAACATAGGGGATCTTACTCTAGGAGGATAGATGTTTTTGTCATACAAAGTGAGACACACATTTTTCTGGTTTCTAGAGAAAGAAATTAGTATCTTTTGTCCAATCAATATGACTTTCAAAAGTACACGTAAATGCCTAGTGCTGTGAAAGCAGCAGTAAACTTGGAATTAAACCAAAACCAAATCAAACTCACTGCCACCGAGTCAATTCCGACTCATAGTAACCTCCATTGGGCTTCTGAGGTGGTAAATCTTTATGGAAGTAGATTGCTTGGTCTTCCTCCTGTGGAGTGGCTGGTTCATTTGAACCACCAGCCCTCTGGTGAGCAGTCAAATGCCTTAGGCACTGTGCCCCAGAGCTCCTGGGTCTTGCTGTGCTGTTTGTGAACTTGGGCATTCCAAGTTCTCTGCAAAATGAAGAGTGTTGAGTCTGTTTCAACTTCAAATATCACTATTTCATCATGTTTGTGTCTCCTCCTTTTTGTATCTTTTCCTCTGAAGTCTTTAATCGCACCTTCTTCCATCTCCTTCCGCCAACTTCTTATCTTTTTTTGAGCCTTCTTTCCTCCTCCAGTTCTCCCCCCCCCATCTGAACATTTATCCTGTTATCTCTAGGCTAGAATTGAAGAATTGTTTATTCTTAGCATATGAAATGTTATTGTTAAAGCTTCCTTTCAAAGAAGCCTGAATTGTGTTTTTATTTGCCCTAAAATAATAATAATAATCACAGTGTAAGTATATTTTGAGGGAAGAAATGTTCCCAATCCCTTGTTTAGAATGCAGAAAGAAAAAATAAAATTCTTTAAAAAAAAACAAAATTAAACACTGAGCTATTACGTCTGTGTTATGAGCACAACTGAGTGTGAAGAATGGAATGCCTCTGACGCTATACTTTCCTTACATTCTGCTAATTAGATTTCTAGAATCTTTGTGTGTACCAAAATTCTAATTCTACTGTTGGCAGGAGTCCGGTATGTCTAGTTTCTAAAATGTAAATAGCCTAAGGGAAATATGTGAGTCTTTCAACATGGCTTATCGAGAGAGTAATCTCATCTTTTTAAACCCTTAAGTTTGACTTCCCCTAAGCTGCTTATTTCATAACTATGAATTCCTGTGGCTCTTTAATTTCTTAGTTTGTGTTGAAACTTAGTTTCCAAAGATATACATTGTCAATAGGGATCAAATTAATAATTGTACTTGTATGTGGTACATTATGATTTTTTTTTCCCCAGAGTAATCTCTGATTTTTAGTTTTGTGCTCTGGAAGTAACAGCTGTTGGATTGATAGTATGTACTGGTTATTTTAATATATTTTTTATAGAGGTAACTATTTAGTTAAGGGGGATATTTTTACTATTTTGACTATTTCTTAGTGAAAGAAGTACCTCTAGATTTAATAAAATATTATATACATTTCACATCATAATGTCAAGCTGCTATAACTAATCAAGGAACCACTCTACTCATCTTTTAATGGTGTGGATACAAATTTAAATTATACTGTTTGTATATTATTTGTCACCTTTTTGTCTTTAGCTGTCACAGACATGACTTTAAAAGTTGTTGTATTGTTGTTATGTGCCTTGGAGGCAGACCTGACTCATAGCAACCCCTCCTTGGACTTCCGAGGCAGTATTGCTATGGAAGTAGATTGCCCAACCTTCCTTCCGAGGAGTGGCTGGTGGGTTTGAACCGCCAGCCTTCTGGTTAGCAGTCAAGTGCCTTAGGCACTCACTATGCTACCAGAGCCCCTAAAAGTTGCTGTATACTGTCCTTAAATTTTCCTTTTTGAAATGCTAGTAATCAACTCTGTAGCCAAGCTAAATTATTTCTTAATCCTAAAAACGTTTGGAAAAGACAGAATATTTTGTTTTAGTCTCTTTTCTAATGAAAACAGTATTTGGCTGGAATACTTTGGATATTAGAAATAACATCTCAAGCTTCAGACCCCATAACATTTTAGGTCTGCATTCTGTCTTCATAGGGTAGATTATCTGGTGGGTCTAAGACAGAGCTCCATTACAAATCAGACGCTAGGCCCAGCAAAAGGGAAAAACATTCCTTCTGAATTGAACATGGTAAATTCTTTAGACTGGATGCTTTTCTGGAATTGGTCTGAAATTAGAATGGACCCTCTGTGAGAGTCCTGAGCCAGGACATTTCTGGTTAAATTCCAAAAGCAATACCTTCCTTCAACAGGTTAAAAAACACATTTCCATGTATATTTCTGATAACCAAACACACAACAACAGAGAAGCTTCTCGATAGTCTTAGATGGGCGTCCAGTGACTTGCTTTGTGACCTCAGTTAAGTTGGAATTTAATATAAACTTTAAAATTATAACAAAAATAAAGAAATTATATTATTTATTGAGTATATGTGAATTTGTTGTTAAATATTAGAGTAATAAAATTAAAGCCAGTATATTTTATGTACACTCAGATGAATGCATAATATTTTATTTTTCTTCTCCAAATTAACTTTAGATCCAAATGTACCAGCTGTCAAGGCTCCTTCATGACTATCACAGAGATCTCTACAATCATCTTGAAGAAAATGAAATCAGCCCCAGTCTTTATGCTGCCCCTTGGTTCCTCACATTGTTTGCCTCTCAGTTTCCATTAGGATTTGTAGCCAGAGTTTTTGGTAAGAGATGCCTGTGATCACATGGGACAGTGTATTTATTCCAAGGAATATACTTTTAGCCATATGTTTCCCTGATTGTGTTGTCATATATTACAGACTAGAAAATTGCTAGTGGAATTTAATAAATGTGCCTGGCTCTATTCTGATAGTAATTTGAAAACATGTTGCTCTTAAATAAAATTGAAATCAAATGGGAAAAAGAAAAGTGAGAGTTAGGCCCCTGTTTTGAGTAAGCTGTGATGGAACTGTTATTTTCATTTATACCTAAAAATCAGAGGATACCTTTTTTTTTTTTAAAAAAAAAAAAAAAAAAAAGTCTGAGCTAAGGGTTTATTCTGTATAATTTTCTAGATTTTTATACACAACTTCCCAACTTCTATTTATTTTCTTCTTCAACCTGGATCTAAAACTCAGAGAAACATTTTCTTCATCTGGCTCAACAGGAGTATTATATTAATGTTCTTTGTAATGCTATTTCATAGTCTGACTTTTTGCTGTTAACAAGGTAACTTCGATTCCTATTTTGTTGCTCAAATAATTCTCTTTTCATGCCAATTTATTGGTGGTAGCCAGTCTTCTAACACCATGTAGCTCAGGGAAGAGCACCAAGTACGGTCAGGGTAGCCCAGGATAGGCTACAGAATACCTGTCATGTTCAATCACAGCATTAGACACTAGGAATGAAAAGAGAATATGACATGATGAAGGAGCTCTGTTGGTATAGTGGTTAAGACATTTGGCTGCTAGTGAGAAGGTCAATGGTTCAGATCCACAAGATATTCCATTTACAGCGTTGGAAGATTTACAGCCTTGGAAACCCAATGTGGGTGGCTGTGAGTCACTATGAGTTGTAGTTGACTCGATGGAAATGAGTTTGTTTTTGGTTTTATGACATGGTATATTCCCTTTTGGGACCATTAAATCTATTCATATTTCTTTGGTTAGTTTGTCTAAGTTTGTTATTTGAAAAACAAACAAAAACCCATGCAACTATTCACTAGTGTGGTTTGTTCTAATGTTTTTGCTAGGACCTCAAGGGCCGCACAAATGGTGCCTACAATTCTTATTGTTAAGCTCATCTAGTAACCAGTATTCACAACTGTGTTGTTGTTAGGTGCCATTGAGTAGGTTCCAACTCATTGCGTCCCTGTGGACCACAGAATGAAATGTTGCCCTGTCTTGCACCATCCTTACAGTCATGCTATGTTTAAGCCTGTTGTTGCAGCTACTATATGCTCTTGTCAAATTACGATTGTTTTTCAAATTGCGAGTACTGTAGGCCATTACCAGCATTAAAAAATATGAAACAGAATATAACACAGTGAAAATACTAGAGAATATTATAAATATTAAGGAGAAATATTGTTTAGAGAAACTCCAATTTGAGGATGTATGTGTAATGTAATACATATACCAGATCGTGATGTCCAGTGATTTTCTTCTTACGTCCTGTGAATTGAAAAATTTTAAAACCTCTGCATTAACAGTAATAAAATCAATAGAAAAAAGTACAGCAAAAGAGTAAAATCAAGATGTAGTGTATCAAATGTACGCCAAGTTTCTCTTATTTATTTAATATATGTGATTGATTTTGCTCAGTGAAGTTTCCTTTGGCACTTGGGTTCCTATTAATGGATCTTCTATGGAGATATATATATATTTAATTTTTTTTTTCCTCTGAGAATAGTCTGTGCAATACAAATGGTGTTCTAGGGCCTTTCTCTTTGACTTACACTTGGAAAGTTGATATCGGAGTCTAAGAAACAAATCTTCCCAGTAATTTGTTCCTTGCTATGAGAATGTGAATGATGCTGTTGGTTTTGTAATAGTAGCTGCTCAATCTTTTTTTTTTTTTTAAATCAGTAAATAAGAGAGACCATCAGGAAAGAGGAAATGAATGAGGAAGCAGAATTATTAAATTTGAAATAATTGTCTTGCAGTTTGCTCTTTTTTTGAAAATTCCCTGTTGTATATTATTGATTAAAAAAATTCAAAATTTATGAATTTTACTTTTCAAAATTATTGCATATTGATATTTGTTAAGAAGTGGAGTGCACTTCTGATTTAGGTAATATATTTGTTTTGATTTTCTTTTAAAGTTTTTTCTTTTTAATTTCTTACTCTGCTATAGGTTTAATTACATATTAACTGGTTCATTTACTATCTTATTATGGTAATTAGAGTTTAAATAGTACTAATTGGTTATGCTGACTTGTTTTTGTATTTCTGTTGTGAAGAAAAATCTAAACAGCAGTTGAATAAATATCTCTGAGATTTATCTAATCAACTTTATCATTTCCATGAAATTTGCCATTAAAAATTATAGATAAATACAGAGACAAATGGATACATATATCTCTTTCTTTTTTAAAAAACCCTTTAGTTGAGATTTCTAAATAGGTATGGGGAATATGCAAACATTTGTTTCTTTCAGTCATATCAGAAGCATTTTTTTTTTTTTAACCTGGGTGGTTTGGATCAATTTGTTTTTTGGCAAACTTTTCTCTGGTCATGCTGCAGTAATTAAAGGAAAGAAAAAGGCATTACTATAATGAGCATATGTTTTGCAATGGATGCATAATTTTAATCATGAAAATTATCTCTTTTTTTTTAGATATAATTTTTCTTCAGGGAACTGAAGTTATATTTAAGGTTGCACTCAGTCTACTAAGTAGCCAAGAGGCCCTTATAATGGAATGTGAAAACTTTGAAAATATTGTCGAGTTTCTTAAAAATACCCTCCCTGATATGAATATATCTGAAATGGAAAAAATCATTACACAGGTATGATTGGATGATAACAGTAAGATATGACTCTATCACAGTGTATGTACTGATTACATGTTCAACTTTTTGGCATAGAAATGTAGTTTTGATTGTTAGATAGGTAGAGACAAGTATTGACTTGAGTGAAGAGAAGGGCAATGTGCTAAATGTGAGTGATCAACATGATAGCGTTGAGGAAGAGGAAGACATAGAGAGGTGCATGGGAGGTACAAACAACAAAGATGAACCTTTTGCATATACAGTACTGCATTGTTAGTGATGACAAACAGTGATCTACACATGGATAGATCACTGAACTATTAGGTGTGTCTATGCAGGGGGTAGTGTGCCCATGACCATGTTTCTACAAGTGTATTGTATGTTCTGTAAGAATTTCCAGGTAGATAGTAGCGTTGACAAGGACAAGGTTGTAGTCACTTCTTGGCCACAGCTAGCTACCCAGAGAGAGCAAGTAGTTGGACCTGTAGGCTCAGGACCATGCTCAATTGGCATAACATACTATGCAAAAACATTGTTCCACAACCTACTTTGGTGAGTAGTGACTGGGATCTTAAAAGCTTGCAAGTGGCCATCTTGATGCAACAATGAGTCTTTCCTCATCCAGAGCAAAGAAGAATGAAGAAAACCAAAAATGCATGGAAACAATTAGCCCAAGAGACTGATACACCATGTGATCCACAGCCCATAAGACTATGAGACCAGAAGAACTAGATGGTGCCCGGCTACCCCTGTTAACTGCTCAGAGGGGGATCTATGTAGGAGATCCTGGATAGAGAGGGAGAACAATGTGGAACGAAACTTGAAATTATAAGAAAAAAGGGACCAGGTTTGCTGGTTTGATAGAACCTGGTGGAACCCCCAAAACTATGGCCCCTAGCGGCCCTTCAGGTCTGGAATCGAACCCACTCCTGTGGTTTCCAGCCAAACAAAAGACAGGCAAATGAGCTGAACATTTACATTAGGTAGATATACTCCTTGGAGAGATCAATCATGGGAGAATAGAATGGCTGTATATGCACAGGGAGACAGCTCATGGGGCGGGAGTGCTTTGGAAGGAAGAACACAGGGAAGAGGTAGCTATGGGGAGGAAGTGGGAGGAAGGCTGTTGCATTGTGGGAGATTACAGTCAATGTTGAGACAAAGTGTATGTGAACTGCTGTATGGAAGATGAATTTGCTCTGTAAACTTTCACCCAAATCACAATAAAATTTTTTAAGAAAATGTAGTTTTGCTTGACAGGTAGCTCTATTTCTGCTTTTTAAATTTGATCAGATGCATTTTATTTAGAAATAAGACTATAGTGAAACTTCTCCGTTGTGGCATTGGCTGTGCACAGAAAAGTGGTTTAGTGCTGTGTAATGAATTTCTTAAGATTTCTTTCAATTTAAACCAATGGTGAGACTGCAGATAGAACTGACAGAGTTAGGAAGACAGAAAAAAAATGAGACCCACTTGCCTTTGTAAATATCGTTACTTCTTTTTAAAAATATACAAGGACTATATGTGGCAAGAGCATCGGCTTTGCAATTAGAAGTACTGGGTTTGTATCTTCTTTCTAGCTCTTTTATTAACTGTTTCACTTGTATGCATCACCTTAGTTATCTGAACTGTAGTTTCTTGGCTCCAAAATGGGACAATACCTATCTGAGAAGTTTTGTGAAGCTTCAAAGAAGAAATGTGATGTATCAATCAAATCAGAAAACAGTTTACCTCTGATGATTCAAATCAAGTTTTTGTTTTGTTTTTTCTTTTCTTTTAAACAGAATTGTGGATAGAGTAAGAGAACCCAAAATGGCTCTCCAGGTGCTCAGGGAATAGTAATGGAAGGAAGTACAGGTTCACACCCTTTGTATAAAGAGGGGAAGGGAGGATGTAGTGGTGTTATCAGGACCAGTGGGAGCCAGAGCTGAGGAGGAGGGAGTTTGGCAGTTGTGATTTTGGAGACCCAAACAGGGAAGAACAGTGTTTCACTGGTATTCATAAGGTGTTCACTGGCCAATTATTTGAGAACTGGATGGCCCCTTCATTCTTCTGAATCTGTCCTAGTGTGGAAGCTCTGCTGAAACCTGTCCACCATGGGTAACTCTGCTGGTATTTGAAATTCTGGTGGCATAGCTTTCAGTCTCACAGCAACACACAACCCACCACAGTGTGACAAACTGACAGATGAGTGGTGACAGATGAGATGGATTGACACAGTGGCTGCAATGATGGGCTCAGGTATAGCAAGGGTTGTGAGGCTGGCACAGGACTGGGCAGTGTTTCATTCTGTTGTACATAGGGTCAATATGAGTCGGAGCCAACTTGACGGCACCTAACAACAACAATAACAACAGTGTCCTGCCATCTACTCATTGTGTAACTCTGGGTTAATCACTACCTTTCTGCATCTCAACCTCCTCTTACAGAAAAGAAAGTCTAAGTAATAATAATAAGTGATCCAATTACACTTCAATATTATTTTTAAGAGCAAATGTAACGAATTAAGTTAAAGAATTTCATGCACTGTAACACATACGTAAATGTGAACTATTATTATATGATCATATATAACATTTTCTATTTATAAAATCTAAAAATCTGACTCACAGCTACCCCCATTGAGTTTCCAAGGCGATAAATCTTTACAGAAGTAGATTGCCCAGCCTTCTTTCCATAGAGTGGCTGATAGGTTTGCACCGCCAGCCTTCTGGTTAGTGGTCAAATGCCTTAGGCACTACCCCACCAGAGCTTCTTGATTATTGTATGATCGTATATAAAATTTTCTATTAATAGAATCTAAGTCAGAAGGAAATTGCAAAGCCTCTAAATCATAAGTAGATTACTCTATAAATAACTATTTTTATTTGTTAAAATAATCTGTAAATTGAAAAGTGTACCCTGGATTTCCTATTTGTTTATGTAGTGATGCTTCAGGAATACCATTTGACTGGCAGTCAGGGAGATTGTGCTTTTAGAGGAGAGAGGGTATTTGAAATCTGATCACTTCCATTCTAAAATTAGGGAGTGAATTGCCTGCTTTAGAGATCATTACTGGGATTAATGGATAGAATTTATAGGCAGGTAAATTTGGACTTGATATTGAGAGAATTTTCTAACAATTAGAGTTGATTAACTTTGGAATGAACTCCTGATATTGAAGGAGACTCTGATGAGCTTTATTTGTGGTCATAAAAAAATGCAAATGTTGCAGAAACAGCAGAAAGGTGAAAATGAAAGTAAACATAAATCTTGACATCTTGAGATGGTGGCCTTTTAAATTTCCTTTTACACATCTCTCTTTGCTTATCTACACATATACATGTGTATGCAGTTGTATATACATAACTGGAGTAATACCATACATGCTGTTGAGTAACCTGATTATTTAATTAAAAATATGTAGAGTATTAAACATTCTTTCATGCCAATAAATGCAGAGCTATACCATCATTTTTAATTTCTTTTTGTTGTTGTTGAAAATAAACACAACAGAACACATACCAATTCAACAGTTTCTACATGTTCAATTCAGTGACATTGATTACATTCTTCAAATGGTACAACCATTCTCACCTTCCTTCTCTGAATCATTCTTCTCCAAATAACAAGAACTCACTACCCCCTAAGTTTCCTACCTAATCTTTTGAGTTGCTGTTGTCATTTTGAGCCCATAGAGAGAGTTCTTAAAAGAACACAATGCTCAAGGCAGACATTCTTTACTTGTTAAGCTAAGCTGCTGTTTGGTTTTAAGGAGACTTCCAGGGATATTTTTGGTTTAAGATTTAAAGATTATCTCAAGGCAGTAGTTTCAAGGGTTTTTCCAGCTCCCATGGTTCCAGAATGTCTGGATTCCATGCATGAAAATTTGAAATTCTGGTCTTCATTTTCCTCATTTTGATCAGGATTCTTCTATAGAATCTTTGATCAAAATGTCCATACTAGTTTTGTTATGTAAATAGCCCAGTGTATCCATACCTATACCCCAAAATCCAAACACACTGCCATCATGTTGATTCAGACTCATAGCATAGGACAGGGTAGAACTACCCCAAAGGGTTTCCAAAGCTATGAATTCTTCTTCTTCTTTTTTTTTAAATTGTGATTTGGGTGAACGTTTTCAGAGCGAATTCATTTTCCATGCAACAGTTCATACACATTTTGTTTCATGGCATTGATTGCCATCTTCATAATGTAACAGCTGTCTTCCCACTTCTTCCCTGTGGTTACCTTTTCCCTGTCTCCTTCTTTCCCATGCATTCCTGCCCTCTGAGCTATCTCCCTGCACAAATGACTGCTCTTCTGATCTCCCATGATTGCTTGTCCTAAAGAGTGTACCTACCTGGTGTAAATGTTCACCTTATAAGCCTGTCTGTTGTTTAGCTGGAAGCCAGAAGACTGAGTTCAATTCCAGGCCTGAAGGTGACCAAGGGTCATAGTCTCTGGGGGCTTCACCAGTCTCTATTGGACCAGTAAGCCTGTTTTTTTGTTTTTTGTTTTTTTTTGAGTTACACATTTTTCTCCCATTCTATCCAAGTTCTCCAGCACTGATCCCTTGGGAAGTGGGTGACAGGTAGCTTGGTATCATCTGGTTCTTCTGGTGTCATGGTCTTGTAGGCTGAAGTTCGTATGGCCCACTAGTTCCTTCCTTGTACTAATTGTTTCCATGCATCTTTGGTTTTCTTCATTATTCTTTGCTTTGGATGAGGAGAGACCAATTGTTGCATCTACATGTCTGTTTGTAAGCTTTTAAAACCTCAGTCACTACTCACCAATAAAATTCTTGTGGAAGTGGAGACTGCCTCATCTTTCTTCCACGGAGTGGCTGGTGGGTTTAAACTGCCAACCTTTTGGTTAGCAGTGAAATACTTTAACCACTGCACCACCAGTGCTCCTTTATCCATACCTGTAGGTATATATATTCTAGAAATGATATTAGTTTGAGTTTAGTGGTATTATTATGTAGATTCTAAGATTTAACAATCTCTGGTAGTAATAGGGTAGAAAGGCCAGTCAGATTTGACAATCAGAAATCATGTTGTTTTCATGTTTGTTTTTGTTCTCTCCACATTGTTAATGTAGACACCAGTGCTTAAATGGCAGCTGCCACCTCACTGAGCAGGTTTAGACTGAGGAGGGGTTAACTTAACAGCTTACTGTCTTCCCAGTTGGTGGTACTGAGTGAGAGCAGCAACCCTTCTTACACTTTACAGCTGCATATAGTGTTCAGGATATGCCCTGTTAAAGATTTTCTGTGGTAACTATGTAAGTGATTCCTAAGAGGCTCACATGGATGCTCATTATATATGGATACTTATAAGGCCTTTCTGTTCCGTTAACAAATAAATTAGAAACGCTTTTGTTCTCATTATTACAGATATACCCTATGCAATTTTGCTTATCAATTAGCAAAGATTATCTCTAATGTAGGTAGTAATCACTTAATAATTAGTGTTATTTATCTGGTATACTACATTTTGGGAGATAATTACTTAAAAAACAAACACATACTAGATCTATTGCCATCAAGTTATTTCCAACTCATAACAACCCTACACGACAGAGTAGAACTGCCCCCATAGAGATTCTAAGGCTATAAATCTTTATGGAAGCAGACTTCCACATCTTTCTCCTGTGGAACGAATGGCTGGTGGGTTCAAATGACAGATATTTTTCAGTCCTAGATTATAAACATTTTGGTTGCAAATTACCCTTGGACATTAATTTGTTTTAGTGATTTGGCTTCAATATAAGATTGTTTCATTGCATAGATATAATCCATTTGTCCTTATGTTGAAGTCAAACTTATTGTTATTCCTTGTGTATACCATAATTTTCCTCATTAAACAAGTATCTGGGAGTATATGTATCTTGATTTATGTATATAAAGGCCAGATTAACCCATGGCATTTTCATGGCAGGTTTTTGAGATGGACATTTCTAAACAGTTACATGCCTATGAGGTGGAATATCATGTGCTTCAGGATGAGCTTCAGGAATCTTCATATGCCTGTGAGGATAATGAACCTGTGGAGAAGCTGGAGAGAGCCAATAGCCAACTGAAAAGACAAAACATGGACCTCCTAGAAAAATTACAGGTAAAGACCTAAAGATGTAACCAAAAAAGGCACTTGAATGCCTCCTGCATGCATAGAGCTGTGCCAGGAATAAGAGGCATATGTAGGTGGATCACCAGTGCTGGCTAAGGGCCTCTACTTCAGACTGTGTCCAAGTGGAGCCCCACAGAAGGGCTGAAGATGCATGTGCAAATTTAAATTTCACTCGGGAGGTAAAATGTAAACTCACAAGGTAGTTAAAGGGCAATTCAAAGCAGAATTTGCTTCAATACCTATTGGGCAGTACACAATTGATTAAACCAAAGGGAGAAAAGCTTGCATATAGGAAATTGGGAAAGTCCTGGGGGATTTAGGGGCTTCAGCTGGAGCCTGAAGTTGGTATAAGAAATGAGTGTTGAGGATCTTAAAGCTGGGTGGGAGCAGGGGTTGTTGGTAAAAACAAAGGAGGGAGTAGCTGAGTATCAGTTAGTTTGACGTGAGTTGAAGATTTATGTTGAGTAATGTAATAATATGATGGGAGCAGAATTGTTAATAACTTTCAGTGTCTAGCAGAAGAGCATGACTTTACTCTTGGAAACAGAGTGACTAATCTCTTAAAGTTTTTGAGCAGTGCTTTTAGAAAGGTCAATTTTGGAACCTCAATGAGGACCAAGTAGGAGGAGGCAAAAATGAAGGGAGACCATTTGTAAGAAATCTGATTGGTGATGAGACTTGCTGTCTTAGGCTGGCTTCTCTAGAGAAGCAAAACCAGTGAAATACACACACACACACACACACACACATATGCCTACATACAGAGAGAGAGAGAGAGAGATTGATCTCAAGGAAATGGCTCATGCAATTGTGGAGGCTGGCAAGTCCCAAATCCATGGGTCAGGCATCAGGCTGGAGGCTTCCTCTGATTCACATGGTTGCAGGAGCTGATGGACCCACAATTGGCAAGTCAGATGACAGATTGTTGGCTTACAGGGCTGCAGAATGTGGTGCATACCAGAATTGGAGGGTAGCCAACAGGCTGTTAGTGCAAGGTCCAAGAACTGGAGACCAGATGATGATGAGCCAGGTGTAGAATCCAGAGCAAGGGAGAGCCTTGGCAGAGCATCCATCTGTATATTGGCTCATGTCATACCCCCAAAGAAACTCTCCTTTCATCAGAATAAGGGTGTTACTTGAGTAAAGGTGTGACTTGAGTCATGCCCTCTTGTAAGGTTGTGACTTAAGAGATACCCCACAGTAATTGTGCCTCATTAATATGTAGAGGATAGGCTTTGCAAGTGGAGGATAATTACATAATATGACAAAATTGAAGATAATTACACCACACCACAAAATGGAAGACAACCACCCAAAACTGGGAATGATGGCTAGCCAAGTTAACAGAGAACAGGAACCATTACACTTACCTAGAGTAAAACTCACAGACATGGAAAGAGAAACGAATATATGTGAAAAAGGTAAAGGAAAACATATCACACACAGTTCCTGTCATCAAGGACTGACAATTACTTGGGAATATAAAATACTATATGTTTATTTATACACACACTTAACAAATGCAACTAAATTTATTGCAGAACAATATTCATAATCTTCAACTTAGTATTGAATGTACTGTGTGTGCACATCCTAGGGCTGTAGCTTAAGGAGTGATGGGGAAAATGGAAAGGGAACTGCTAGTAGAGATGAGTCCTAAGCTAGAGTGTAAGTGTGCATCTGATTTCTGCTTACCCTCCATTTCCTTAACACTATACACCTGCCCCAAGGAGCTCTGGTAGTGTAGTGCTTGAGGCATTTGACTGCTAACCAGAAGGCTGGCGGTTCAAACCCACCAGCCACTCCTCAGAAAGAAGGTTGGGTAATCTACTTCCGTAGTGATACCACCTTGAAAACACAAGTAGGGGTCACTATGAATTGGGTCCGACTTGACAGCACATAACAACAACAACAACACCTGCCCTAAACCAGAAAATAATAAGATGCTTTGCTTTTATGTGGTAGGCCCCTGATAAGACCATCTGTGAAAAAAAAGGTCAGAAACTATAGAACTCTTGAGTAGTTGCCCAGAAAGAATAAGAACCCTGATTTCCTTCACTTCAACTTTTTGTCCCTTTTCTTATTCAAAAAAGAGCCAACACTGTATTTCCAAAAATAAATAAATAAATATAATTGGTATATTGTCTGTTTCTACTTAGAAGCTCCAGTGATGCTTATTTGAGCATTTCCTTATTAGAAAAGGTGGATTTGTACCTATATTTTATAGTGTAATGATTTTTATTAATTGTTACAAACTCTTTAAATGGACAGTTCAATATAATCATCCTGTCTGTGTTCCCAAGTTACATGAGCATCCCTGACACCCTTAGAAGTAGGATCCCACATATGTGTTTTGGTGGAATAGTGCCTAAGGCATTTGACTGCTAACCAGAAGGCTGGCGGTTTAAACCCACCAGCCACTCCTCAAAAGGAAGGTTGGCCAATCTACTTCCATAGTGATACTGCCTCGGAAAATCAAGGAGGGGTCGCTGTGAGCTGGATCTGAACTCAACAGCAGTGAGTTGAGTTTATATTTACAGTCAGAAGGAGAGAAACTTAACTTCAGCACTATAAGGTGGTTGTCAGGAACCTTCTATTTTTCTCTCAGACATGTCAGATCCCACTCATTCCAAGGAATATCAGTGTGTGGAGTAAGACCCCTACTATTCTGGGATGATGATTTACTATTGATTATTGGTATATTCAGTGAAATTAAACAAATTGTGTTAGTGTCACAATTATATTTTTGAGAAACCTAAAAATCTCTGTTTCATAGAAGTTGTTGGAGTTATTTGTTTCATATAATATTTTGTTCAGTAATTGGATATAATTGGTTAATATATATAAGGTCTGGTTGCTGCTATAATGAAAAAGCAGTCTTCAAAAACTTTGATTTAGAGGACTTTGTTTTCCTCTTTCAAATAGGTGGCTCATACTAAAATCCAGACCTTGGAATCAAACCTGGAAAATCTTTTGACCAGAGAGACCAAAATGAAGTCTTTAATCCGGACCCTGGAACAAGAGAAAATGGCCTATCAGAAGACAGTGGAGCAAATCCGGAAGTTACTGCCTGCAGATGCTCTAGCCAGTTGTGAGTCACTGCTGAGAGACCTGAACTGCAATCCTAACAACAAAGCCAAGACAGGAAATAAGCCATAATTTAAGAAGTGCCATGTCAGTAGTAGGTGCTACTTAGAGCACTAAGGAAGGGAAGAGTCTGTGTGCTGCTGGTTGAACGCTGGACAACGAAGCTGGTGGAACCACCTAATACTGGTGGTGAGCCCCAAGTCAGTCGGGTGGACTGCATTCTCAGAGTCTGCAAACCCTAAGCCATTGTACAGATGTAGGCTGGCGGGTGATGGTGGTTGACAGCTATGTACATATATACATATATATATATATATATATATATATATATATATAAATTACATAAAGGATTCATGCTTTCAGAGAAAATGAGTAGATGTATATTTAGAGCAATTTTTTTAGTCAAAACTTCATGAAGTCCACACCAAAGGGAAGTTAAAGCAAAATTCTCCTTGGGCACACGTCAAACCTTTTTTTTTTTTTTTTTTTTGTCTCTGTAGTGAAACAAAGCTAGAGCATCTTTGTATATTGAGATATACTTGAAAAAAACAAATGTATTTTTTTCCTCCAAAGAACAGCCTGTTTCACTCAGTGGTGTAGAGGGGGAAGGCGGAGACATTTATGTAACTTTGTGTACTTGTCTTAAAAGTCTACTGACATTGTATATAAGAGAAAATGACTGATCAGCAGTCATGCTCCTATTTCAGGAAGGTGGGGTTTTGCTCTCCTGCCTGCCTTGTGCCAACTAGCATGTTGTGCCCACATGCATTTTGAGTCTGGTTAGTGATTACTTTGGACATGTATGAGGAGCAACCCAAGTTAAAGGAGAATGTTGCTAATTTTCTAGTAAATTAGCCCAGCATTATTAGTCAAACCAAAAATATCAGGCCTCAGACATTTAATTTCGGACCCACATTGTCTATGTTAGCATTCTACCATCTTATTTAAATTACTCCTACAGTTGTGAACTGACTCACCTTTACTTGGTGCCACAGTTAGAGACAATGGTTTGACATTTTCCCATCCAAATGTGACAGCTCTTAGCTAAGCCTCTAGCTTAAATGAAGGATGAGGAAATGCAATTATGATTGGTTTTCTAAAGATAATATGTTGGGTTGAGATACCTTTAATTATTAATATTATTTTAACTTTTTTGCCAATTGAAAGAATCTACTAAGCTCTGAGTAAATTTTCCTTTTTGTGTGAAAAGTGACAGGAACTATGAAGTATTTAAGAACACACTTTGTTGAATTCCATTGGAAGGGAAGAGGAAAGTGGCACTGAGCCCATGTGAAAGCCTAGAATTCTACATGTATATTCCCAACTTGCATGCTGGCTGTATGGAAGGACAGTGATTTTCAAAGTACACATGCCATTGTCTGTTTCAGAGATGATTCTCCCATGGTGCCTCTGAAAGTTGATACAACATGTTTGCCTTTCTAAACAATATTTCTCATCCCTGCTTTTTTTTTTTTTTAAGTACCTGTATTATCACTGATGGACTATCTGAGTTAATTTTCTTCAAAGGGAATTTGTTATAGAACAAGTTGAAACTTACTTTAGAGTAGAAGAATAAAGCACTAAAACTTGCAAAAACTTTATAAGCAGATGAAAACATTTGAAATCACCTTTAAACTGTTACTTGTGTATATGTAATGAATCTTGTGACAGATTAGCATGCCCTCTACTCCAGGCTGGGTTATTTTATTTTAAAGATAGTAAGGTCGTATTAGTTAAATTAATGTAACTTCTAAGGTCTGTTTCAGTAGACCAGAACATGCTGATTCTAGGTACCTCATTCAACCAGGGTTCCCAAATGATTTGTTGCTAATACTTCCTGAAAATTTCTCTATTTGTAAGAGGTTTTTGTTTTTGTTTTTTTCCTTTTCCTACCAGGAGTATAACAACTATTATCTTGTTACTGTCCAGTGATGAAAATTGCCTTATGTGTGAGTCACAGTGGTAGCTAAGGCATCTCCCAGTTGGGAAAAGAAACATTTTACTTTCTGTTGTTGAGTTTAAAGTAAACTTTATTCTGGAATGTTTAGAATCAACATTATGAGTTGCATTATTGTTTTAAGAGATTAGGGTACCTTGGCTACAATATTTTCTTTTGAAAATGAATTTTATTTTTCCTTTGTGATTTTCTTAAAATATTATACCCGTTATGCTTCATGCATTGTTACATCTTCATCAGGTTAATGTAATGTCTAGTTCATTTCCAATAAATACATTGCTGCAGTTTTCCTTGGCTCAGTGGTTTTATTTTTGCTGGTAGAAGAAAAGAAGCTCTTGATTACAGTCTTTTACAGGATATGCATGGGTTGGATTGTTACTTTGTAAAATTGATGCATTGATAATTCTTAACAGAATCAGAGACAAGGGAAATCATTTTAAGAAAAGATTTATGAAAGCTTTTTCCTGTTGAATATATTTAAAAAAAAAAAAAAACAGTAAGCATCCTGGTAGATTTGCATTCTGCCCCTTTTATTTTCTAGGCCTCTCATAGATGGCAAGGGAGAGAAAGAAGATAGTAGTTATCTTTTCAAATTGAAAATTAGAATTCCCATTTAATTAAGAATTCAATCATGAGGGTGACTCATGACCAGGCAACATTTCATTCTGTTATACATAAGGTCACTATAAGAGCCAAATCAACAGCAACAATGAACAATTAAGGACACTTACTGATAGATATGATGATATGAATGTGCTTATATCATGTATTTCTCTCAGAATATTCTCAACTATGTTTGTAACCAAAAGGATTCTGTATGTTCTTGCTAACTTTAGGACTAAAACTAATTATTTCTGCTTCTGAAAGTTTGCAGTCTTGAAAACCTTAAGTAGCAGTCCTACTGCACACACGGGTCACCATTAGACGACCAGCAACAACAATAGCAACAATATATACTAATTAAAGATCTTGAGAAAAAAGTAATGTAGGTTTAAGTAGTATAATCTCCTGTTATCCTTGTCGATTTATCCATTTTCTCACTGTTTGACCAAATACTTTTCTCACTGTGCTTAATTAGAAATAGGAAATCTATTATTTGATGGTATGTAGTATTTAATTCTCTACCTTAATGTACCGCTCTCATTAGCGGTGACATACTGAGAAAAATCAATGGATTTAGTGTGGGAAGTCTTATTTCTGAGACTTGGTTCTACCACATTTATTCGTTCAACAAAGAAGTTTGTGTGTGCTTATTCCAGGCTAAGTACTTGGTGTTCAGAGATGGAATAGATACAGTCTTTGCCCTCAAAGGGTTTATGGTCTAGTGTAGGGATAATTAGAAAACAGGAAAGTTGCAGTTACAACAGAGGTATGCACAAATATGGTATGCAAGGAAATACAGAGGGCAGTCATTAACTCAGCCTGGAGAGAAGGCCTCACAAAGTGTTTCTGAGGAGAGGGATGCATGATCTGAGTCTATGAGAACCAGTAGGTGGAGTAGGTTATGTAAAGCAATGTATGAACAGAAGAGGATAGTGTATTTCTGACATGATATGGAATCCCTTAATCCTGAAGTATGGTTAGTGTTCCCATGTTGGGAAGGGGGTGGGTGATGAGTCTCTTGACAGATAAGGGATTCTATCATGAAGGTCTTTGTAGACCATAAGAAGGACTCTGAACTCTACCTAGAGAGCAATGGTAGCCATTAGATACTTATAAACTGGAGTGAGGCATGATCCGATTTAGTGGAATCCATCTTAAACATTTGGATAGAAACTAGGGAATAGGAGACTACAAGTCAGTGAATGTGATAAACATCCAGGCCAAAAAAGAAAATGGTAAGAACCTGATCTAGGACATTGAGTGGCCTTTGGGAAGGAGAGACAACTTGACTTCTCTTCTGATAGAACCAGTCACTGAAACTTGCTAATTTTGCCTCCAACATATTTGCCCATTTTTCCCTATCCCCACTGCTGCTACAGTGTGTCATGACTCTGATGGGTTAAACTGAGACCATCTCCCACGACTAGGGAAAAATTCTAATACTCAATATTGAGCTACCTGGATTTTGTTTTGCTGAGAGATAAATGAAAGCAGAAATTGAAGCTGAACTGCTCAGTTGAAGAGAGGAGAAGAATCTAGGTTATAGAGAGTGTTAGCAAAGTATGGAAGTACAGAAGTGAAAGTGAAAGGAGAGTAGAAAATAACCACAACCTTGACAGATCAGACCAGGATTTATTGAAGAAAAGCCCGTGAGGGATGACTCTAGGAGCAACGGGAACAATACCAGTTGCAAAGTAGAGACCCTCCTTTGGGGAAATGTTGCCCCCCTGGGGAGGGTGTGGAGTCTGCAGGCTGGTAATTTATCTTTGAGGTTTCACCAGGTGGGAGAGGGTGTGGGATCTGCAAGTGGAATTCATCTTTGAGGTTTCAGGGTGTCTTAGCCAAGTTTAGAGTAGCCAGTTCAGTCCTTCAGAGAGAATCATCTGGAAACCTAGGAATAAAACAGTGGAAGAGATGGTGGGGATTTTTTTAATGAAATCCTGTTTACTCTAGTTGCCAATTTCCCTGAAATCTACTTTGACATTTGTTCCAATATCTCAAACTGAAAGTGCTTTGTGGCACTTTCTGTTGCTCCTCCTGTTGAAAAGGCAGAGTAATATGCTGCATTGTAAACCATGAGTCTCATAGATAGATAGATGTTAGATAGGTAGATCAATACATAGGTAGGTAGGTAGGTAGTTCAAGTCAACTCTCACTCATGGACAAAACCAAATGTTTCCTGGTCCTGCATCATCCTCACAAATATTGGCATGTTCAAGTCCAACATTGGAGCTATTGTATCAGACCATTTCACTGAGGACCTCCTTTACCCTGACTGGCCCTCTACTTCACCTAACATGAAGTCTTCCTCTAGAAATCGATCCCTCTTGATAATGTGTCCAAAGCAAGCACGTTAGACAATACTCTGTTGTGGCCTATAAAGTTTTCATTGGCTAATTTACTGATGAAGATCAAAGACTACAGTCTGCAGTATGGTTTACCCATCAACATAAAACAAAAATCCTCACAACTGGACCAATAAACAACATCACAATAAATGGATAAAAGATTGAAGTTGTCAGGGATTTCATTTTACTTAGATCCACAAACACCCATGGAAGCAGGAGACAAGAAATCAGATGTCATATTGCACTGGGCAAATTTGCTGCAAAAGACCTC